CATAAGCTCCACTTCCAATAGTCTTTATTAGTTTATAGTAATCATATACAATAAATTTTATTCCTTATTATATTTATTTTATTTTTTAAAACATGTAAAAATATATTTTTAAAAAAATTAAAATCTTATTTACCATCACAATTCATTAATAATTTCCCTTTTTTTACAAAATTTTGTTTTTGTTTGTAATTCTACTTTTAATATTTCATTTATTGTATAAAAATTTATTAATGATTTTATTATTATTGGCATTATTGTTAGAGATGTGCTATATTATTTTATTTTATCATTTATTTATTTTTTTTCTTTTTTTTTCTTTTTTTTTCTTTTGTTTTAATTTTTTTTTAAAATAATATATATTATAATAATAAAAAAAATGTAAGAAAATGCATTTTAAATATAAAAAGCTAATGAATTTGAATAAGCAATATTATAATTTTTAGATTGGCTATTTTAATAATTTTCTAAAAACTAATTTGTTTTTTTCACTATAATATAATATTAAATCTATGTTAAATATAATTTATTAATGCCTATTATTTTAATTTATTTATTTATTTTTAAATAAAATTAAAGTTAATATAAATAAATAATAAATTGTGAAAGATTAACAGAAAGAAATTGATAATTTAAATTTAAAAATCAAGGATTAAGATGCATTAATATTAAAATTACAAAATTAATTATCACCACAATACAATTAAAACCTCTACAAAGAAAAAAAGTAGAGTTTAATAAAATAAATTCATCGTTTAGAATAACAAATTAATAATATAATTAACTTTGATTGGTGTGATTATTGCATTTAGCAAAAACCTTAATACTATGTTTAGGATAAAAAAAGTAAAATCTATTTTTTTAAAAAATCTTGTTATAATAGTTGCCTTTAAAAATATTTTCAAAAATAAATTTATCATGTTAATATATTAAGTTAATAAAAAAAATAAAAAGAAAAAATTGATTTAAATTAAATTAATTAATGATGAAAAATTATTAACATTTAATATTTAAATATATAAAAATAATTCAATTATTTATATTTAAAATATTATTAATTAGCTTTTATCTTATTTTTAATTTTATGTTTATGGTATTATTAATTTTATATATATTTGACTCATTAAAATTCTTAAATATATAAAATCAAATTATTATTTTGTAAATCAAATTAATTAAAAAATAAATATTTTAGTTGGTTTTCTTATAAAAATTAATTTTTATCTTAAAATATTCCATATGTGTTATATTATTTTAAATTCAAATTACAAATTTCTTAACAACAATTTTCAATTTAAAGTATCTATAAACTTATATTTTATATTGGATATTAGTTTATGCTTAATATTTTTGCAAAGACTTTATTATATTAAATATTTTATTTTATATTTTAAAAATCATAATATGCATTTTAGTTGATAGTTTATTTTTATTCAATTTAATTTTAAGAAATAATTGGAATGTCTATCTCTTCTATATCATCTTCTAAAAGTTCATTTTAAAAATTTATTTGCGTTGTAATTAATGTTTTATCTTAATATTAGATTTTTTTTTGCACTATATGCTAATTTAAATTTTAAGAATTAAATTGTTTTTTGTATTTTCTTTAATTTTAAGAGTTTTTCTATTAATATTCTTGTTTCGGTTGTTTTTAGGAATATTATTCTATATTGCTAAAATTATTAATCTCTTACTTATTTTTATTTATTTTATTAAAATTTGTATTTCTTTCAATTTCATATTCTTTAAGATTTTTTTTTAGATTTGGATTTAATACAGAATTACTAGAATTTTAAGTATTATCATTATTATTTTAAATTAATCCTATTTATTTATTTTTGTTCTATTATTAATATCTATTATATTATTTTTATTAATAATTATTCTATTAACAATTTTAATCTTTTTTATTATTTTATTCTTCATTCACTTTTTTTATTGTTGATTCTTTGTTTTGATTTTATAACAAAAATTACTCTTATTTTTATATTAGCTTCTTATACATATCTGTTAGCTTTTTTTACTTATCACTTTTATTTTGTTATTTTAAATCTATAAATTCTTATGGAGGACCGTGAGGATTAAAATAAACTCCTTTAAATATTAATTCATCGTCTGGAGGTTCATCTGGCTCCTTTAAAGCAACTTTATAATTCTTCATTTATATTTTAATATTTATTATTTAAATTTTCTTATCTAATTTATTATTTTGAGTTATATTTTTCTCCTTTCTTTAGAATATGCTGAATAATACTTTTATTATATATAAAATATTTAAATATTTTTTATGTAAATAATTGATTAATTTTTATATAAAATGTTAGCTTATCACTATTATATTTTTTAATTTATATTAAAATTATAATCATTTTAAATAAAAATTTTCCTAACTTATATATCATTTATCCATATTTTTTTTTAGAAAAATTAATCAAAATAAAAAAAGCTGCTATATATATATTTTTTTTTTTGCTTTTTTTATTATTAAGTTTTTTTAAAAAAATTACAGAAAAATCAAATATATAAAAATAATGGAGTGAATATTAATTAATGAAAATTTTATTGCATATATAATCACTAAAATTAAGCTTAAAAATTTATATTGAAATCTTCCAAAGTTTACTAATATTAAGTTTTTAAAATTAATATTTTTTAAAATTAAAAAAAATAAAAAGTAAAAATATAATTATAAAAACAATAATATAATAATGCAAAATAACTAATAATAAAATTTATAATTAAAAAATATAGAAAATCCCAAAGAATTATCCTCTTTAAATAAGAGAATTATATTATTTGCCTTAATGAATAAAATATAATTTAAATTATGTTTTAAATTAGAAATAGTTAGCAACAACTTAATAAAAACACAAAGCTTAAAAGAAAAATTTAGCCAGATTTTGTGAAACTAGATAGCTATATATAATAAAAAAAATAATAACTGTAAATAAATTTGTGTTAATATTCAAGTAAACTATATAGGAAACAATTTAGAATAATATAGAATTATAAAATTAATAGTATAATATTATTTGTATTGTAAGATGATTCAACAGAACTAATTGAACCAAAATAAACTAATTCAGAAATAGTTTAAGGATAATACTAAAAAAATAAAAAAAATTAACTATAATCAGATAGATAAAAATAAATAAATATAATTTTTCTAAATAAGAAAATATAATAAACATTTTTGGTAAAAAATTTTATTTGTATGATTGTTATTTATATTACAAGAAAATTCATAAATAAATCGTAAAAAAGTAGTCCTAAAAACAAAATTTTATGAATTGCCCTTCGATGTGATGTTAGAAAATAAATATAATCCAATAAAAGATTAATAATTTAAATATTGTTTAAAAAAAAAATTAAGAAGAGTATGTTATATAAATAAGAAAAATAATTTTTAGATCATATAGAAACACACTAAAATTCTTATTAAAAATATTTTTAATTAAATATTTATATTATGAATTATAATCTTTTACTTCCGAAAATTATTGGTATGTCTAAAATATTTTAAATGTTTGCTAATTTGTACATAATAGATAGTTGTGATATTTTTACATTGTAATATTACAATAAATTATTTTGATTTTAAATTCCCTTAGTATTTTCAAATAAATAGATATCGAATGTCTAAACAATAAATTTAAAATTTAATTGTTAATTTTATCCTTTGTTTTATTAAATAAAAAGAACAAAAAATTCATCCTAATAACTGTTTTGTAAGCGAAGAAGATTCTTTAAGGAAGTAGGTTTAATTTAATCAATTAACTTACTAAAAATGTTTTTTAAATTGGTAGATAATCAAGTTTATTTGAAGCTAAAAATTGTTTTTGAATAAAATTGAAAAAGATAATTTTTAAAAGATTATTTTTAATTTTTATAAAATATTAAAATAATGAAATATTTTTTTTTATAAATCTAAAAGTTAAAAATTCAGAATTTAATATAAAGGAAAATTTATAGAATTAAATAAATACAAAAACATCTAAAAAGAAAATTAATAATTCAGTCATAATTATTTCTGTATTTGAAGTAATTTAATTATTTATAGATCTTTTTTCATTGTTATATATTTACTAAAAATTTTAACTTTAATAGATTATTTTACATTTTTATTATTATAAAAAAATAAAGATATTTTTTTTATTATTTTTACAAAAAAAAGTATTCAATTATCATTATCATTATCGCTTTCATTTTATTAATTACACATTTCTAAGTCTTTTTTCCAATCATCATTATCTTCAAATAGATCAAGTTCTAGTTATGCTATTTAATTAGTTGCAAATATTTCATCACTTTCTGCAATTTGATTTCTTAAGTCTCCATATTTCTCATTCTTTTAAAAACATTACATAAATCAAAAAATATTTTATTTAATAAAATACATATCCCGGATAAAATAAAAATCCGTTGCTTTTATCTATTTTATAAATAAGATTTGAAACAAGTAATTTGTTATTAATATATAAAGGATAAAAGCTAATCAAACCAAATTCATCAAAAAGTTCAGCAATAGCTTTATTTAACTTATAGCATTTTTTATCAAAACTACTTAAACTTTTTTTATATTCTTCACAATCAAAAGCATATATTCCTGCCAAATCTTTAGCTTCTAAATAATGTTCTAAACTCATAGGAGGCTTTCCGTTTTGTTTCATTAGGTCGATTTTACTCAATATCTAATTTTTATTGTAAATTTTTTTTATTTTTAAATTAAAAAATAACATTTATATGTGGCATTTCTAAATTCATTAATGAAGAAAGTGCGTGCAATGAAAGACTTATAAAACTTGAATAATCATAACAAAAACAAGAATCAAAGAGTTCTAAAACTGTTAATTGGCTTTCAAAAGTTTGATTATTTTACAAAACTTAAATTATGTTTTTTACATGGTCACTACACATATATAACTCTATTTATCCTTTTTTAAAATTAAAATATTATTATTATATACTTAAATTTTTATTTTTAATAAATGTATTTAAATACCAGGAAAGTCAAATATTAAATATTTATTTTTATGTAAGTTTATTTAATTTATTAACCAATTAATATTATTTTCTAAAAATTGCATACAATATAATAGTGCACCATTAGGACCTAAATTTAACTCCTACATTACATCATCTATACATATTAAATCTTTTATATCAATATCAGCCTTAAAAATATATTTAATTAAATTAATAATTTCTTATAGAGAATTTTACTTTATCATATTTTGTATATTCAGTTGCTGGATCTAAATTTATTATTAAATGTGACCTTTCTAATTAATTAAAAATTTGTTAAAAACCAGCACAAAGAGTGGTTTTGCCAGATCCACTAGGACCTATTATCAATACACCAAAGTATATGTTTTTTTCTTACATTAATTATATAATTAGATGATAATATAAAATGATTTATTTTAAAATAATAAATTATTTAGTAAAATATATTATATATAATAAAAAAAAATTTAAAGAAATTTAAGAAAAAAATAAATATACTTTTGTATATGATTATATACTGAAAGTATTAATAAATATATTAGTGATAAATATATATAACAAAAAATTAAAGAATATAAATAGATTTTAATGTATATATAAAAAATAATAATATATATATAAATATATATCTTTAAATAAAAATGAATATATAAAAAAATTGATCATTATATTAATTTAAGATATATATATATATATATATATATATATATATATATTATTTAATTTATTACAAAAAAATATTATATTAAATTTATATATTTATAATGATTAATAAAAATAATTTATTTAAAAACTATTCATTTATATTATTTTTATAATACCTAATTAAAATTAAAATATATTTATAATAGTATAAATATGTTTTTTTAATTATAATCATTAAAAGATTAGACTTATTTACTTTTCTAAATATTTTAAGTGATATATAAATAAAAATTAAAAAATACTGCACTTAATCTGATATTTATGTAAATCTATTGATTATTTATTATATAAATTTTTTTTTATTTTAAGATGATAAAAAATTATATTTTTTTAAATATTGTATTAAATATATAATCATATAGAATTTTTAGTAATTGAATAAATATAACATATTAGTTATATAATAATTTAAATATTATTTTTCTTATAAGTGTTAAATTTTATATTTGCAAGATAGCATAAAAGAATTAAACATAAATTATTTTTAATATAAAGTAAAATTATATTTTTGCTGTATCAGATGGTTATTTAAATAATAAAATAGTCGAATATTTATAGTAATTTTTTATGATATAAATATTTTAGATTCAATATAAAAAAAAATATATTAAAATTAAAGATAAATATAATATATATAAAGATATATATGTATGTATATATGTAAAAAATACTGATTACTTATCCATGATCTATATAATTTATTAATATAAATTATATATTGCTATTTTAATAAACTTTAGAGCTGTTATATATTTATATTAAAGGCTATTTTTATTAGTTTTGAATTTCTCACACACTTTAAAATAAATAAGATGAAATTTTGATAATTATTAAAAATAAATGAAATATATTCTAATAAAAAGTAATTAAAGTAAATGAAGAACTGGATATTAGAAGAACTTTTGAAAACTGATAATACGAAAAATAAATTATTTGTATAGCTAAAATTTTTGTTTATGATTAAATATTTTTTAAATAATTTAATTTTATCTTCATAAATAGGTTATGACTAATTTTATAAATTAATATAATAAATTATTCGTTTAGTATTTTCAATAAATATTTAAAAAATATAAAATGAAAATAATAAAAAAAGTATAATAATTTGTTTAAATGGATTTTTAAATTTTTTATGCTATAAATAAATTATATTTATGAAAAGAAATAATTTTTTAGGGTAAAAATGCTATTTTTAATTAAATAAAATAAACATTCTATTAATTAAATATATAAGTTATTTTATCCCCTCCTTATATTATTTTATCCCTTGCATATATTATTTTATCTCTTATTTATAATGTATAAAATTAAATTATATTATTACTATATTACTATAAAAAGTTTAATTTATTTTTTAAAAATATATAAATTATAAATAATAAGATTATAAATAGATTAATTAATATAAATGAAAAATTTATATAGAATAAAATAATGATTAATATTCTATTTTATAATAAATTATTTTAAATAATATAAATTTAATATAAATATTAAATTTTTTATATATAATTATTTGTAAATTGTTTTCATATTTAATATTTTATTTTATGATAATAATTTTACTTTAATATATTTCTATTAAAATATTAAATTAAATAAAAAAAAACATAATATAAATATTAAAATTATTTATTTTTATTTAAAAAAGATAAAAATTAAGAATAATATAAAAATATTTTGCATTTATATTTTATTTAAATAAAAATAATAAATTATTTATTTTAAAATAAAAAATAAAGATATGGATTTATTTACAAATTTAATTTTAATAAAAATATTTAATACTAATTAATTTTAATAAAAATATATAATGTTAATAATTTTTTTTTTTTATAAATAAATTTGTTGTACTTTTTACATTTTTCATTAATATTCTAGAATTTTTTAAGACTTTTTACACTTCTAACGCAGCAAATGCATTTTATTTTAATTTTTAGATTTTAAATTATAAATTTTATATAAAAGTAGCAAATTCAAATATATATTGTTATTCATTTTTTATTTTCTTTACTTGTTGTTATGAACTATTTAAAATTCTGATATAGTCTTAACGTTATAATTTCATAAAAATTACCCTGATTTTAAATATATATAAAATAATACATTTTGTATTAATTAAATATAAAAATAATTTATATAACTTATAGTAATAAGTTTAATTTTATACTTATTATTAAAATCAATCTTATTCTTAAATAAGTATTCCTTATTCATAAATCATATATATAAAAAAATATTAGATGAAATAAATAATTTAAATTAAATAATCTTATAACTAATAATTAAATGTGAATAAAAAAAATAAAAAAACTATAATTAAAGTTTATAATTTTTAAAGTAGTTTTATTAAGAAAAAACTTAAGGCTAATAATTTATTATGTTTTTAAATTTATCTGTTTTTTTAAAAAAGCTGAAGTATTAAATATTATAAAAATTGAAAATACTTTAATTTTCAAAAAGGTTTAGCATAATAGAAAAATAAATTTATAATATATAGATATTTAGGATTAAATATTTAATAAAATAATATACTACTTATTTTAATAAATAATTTTTTTTAAACTGCCTATCAAAAAAAGAAAAATAAATAATAGAATAAAAGGTATTTTTAAAATTAAATAATTGTTTTTTATTTTATATATACTTTGGTAAAAGGAAAAAAAAAAATATAATTCTTTTATTTTTAAATATTATATTTATATCTAAAATTATATCTTAGATTAATTTATAAATAAATTTTAAGTCTATAAAAGAAAAAATTAAAATTATAGCTTTATATGTGAAAATAAAAAGAATGGCAAAAATTTATTTTTAATAAAGAGGTTAGGAAATAATAATATTTAGTTTTTAGATTATATGATTAAACAATGTTTAAATTAAAAAATTCTTATATTTATTATATTAACTACTTAGAAGAAATTAATTATCTAATTATTATTATAGATAAATAACTTTATAAAATTAAAAAACATATTAAAAAATTTGAGATTTTTCATGGAATTTTTATCTAGCTATTTTTAAAAGTATTCCATAAAAATAAATTTAGTTTTTTTTTATATATTTTATATAATGAATTATTGTTAAATTAAAATTATATAATCAATATTAGAGAAATTTACAGAAACTATAGATATTTTATTATAATAATTTTGAAATTAATAATAATATATGTATATATTGTTTTAAAGAAATTAATATATTTATTATATTTTTTTTATTTTCAAAAAACTTTGTTTCAAAATATTAATATAAAAAAAATTAAAATTTCAAAATTTAATTTGCTACAAAATAATAATTTCATTGAAATTTCGAATTAAAAAATAATAGCATTTTTTTAAAAATACTTAATAAAAATATGGAAAATGCGAATTATAATTTTTAAAATTATTTAAGAAATGAAAGACCATAATTGCAAAAGAAAAAAAATAAATACAAAGCAAACTTATTAGATTAAATATTATAGAATACTCCATCCTAAAAATAAAAAAATCGTTAAACATATTCTTTTTTAGAAGAAATCCATTCATAAAATAAAATAAAGTTTCTTTAATCTTTTGATTTATAACAGAATAAAAATACAAAATATTCATCATAATCACCATCCTTGACAATTAACAAGGATTAGAATATTTTTAAAAAAAAATAAGTAAATTTTTTTAAAGAAGAAGAAGATTATATAAAAAATTAACATAAATAATAATAATAAAAAATTTTAATTAATTAAGGCAACAAAATAACGATAAATAATGAAAATAATAATAATAATAATAATAATAATAATAATAATAATAATAATAATAATATTGATAATTTTAAAGAATTATAATATTAAATTAGTATTTCTGAAAAACAATTTTTACAACAAAAAATTTTTAAAAAATATAATAATACAAATATATAGTAAAACAAAATTAATAAATATAGCAATTTGAACAATTTAAATACAAAAACTGAATATGAAATTTAAAGTATTTCTTTGAATAATATTAGAAACAATATGAAATAAAAAAAGTAAGGAGTTAATAATTAATTTTAATGTTAAATATTTGAAAAAATGGATTTAATTAAAATGAATATAGAAAAATAAAATAAAGGACTTTTGAATAATATAATTATAAAATAAAAATAGATTGATGAAGAAATAAAAAACAATAGTCAAGAATAAAATTAAGAAGTTAAAAAGGAAAAGTTAATTGAAAAAATTTATCAAAATTAATAAAAGAAATTAGCTATTTTTAAAATGAATAAAATATATTAAAAGTTGATTAAATTTGGTCTGATTTAGCAAAATAAGAAGAAATAATTAATAAAAGCAGTTAAGTGACTGAAAAAAAACTTAATAATTGTGATTCTTAATCTTATATAAGTAATTTAAATAATAAATAAGAAGATAAATATAATGATGATGATTAAAATATTCTAGAAAAATTTGATGAAAAAAGTTTGTAAAAACATATTAAAAAAATTAAATAAGAAATTTAGGTGTTACATTAGTTATGTAAAGGAAATTAATAGAGTGAGATTGTTTTAACAAGAAAGATTATTAATTAAATTATTTGTCCTACTTTTGGAAAAAGATAATTTTAAAATATTCTTAAAGATATTGGAACAAATAATGAAATAAAAAAATAAAAAAAAATAATTAAAATTGACGATATAAATAAAGAAAAAATTAGCAATGAATCATTAATAAATAATAATTTTTAAGTAACTAAAGAATTGTAAATAATCTAAGAAACCCAAATAAATAAAGAGATAGAATAAAAAGAAATTACAATTTAGGAATAAATAGATAAATAAGAAGAGGAGAAAGCACATTAATAAGATGAAATAAACAAAATATAACAAAATAAATAAAAAAAATAATAATAAAAAAAAAAAAAGAAAAAAAATTTTAAAAAATTAAAAAAATGATATGTGTTGTAAATTTTTTAAACTTATTTTCCCATAATCTTTATTTTTTTCAGATTCCACTTAAAATTCTTATCTAAAATTGATTTTATGAATAAAGTCTGTCTCTATTTAGATTTTAAATTATACTCAATAAATGATTCTTTAATTCGAAAAAATTTTAAAATAAGTTACTTTATTATGGTAATGGTAAGCAGAAGAAAAAAAAGTTGTTATTATAAAATTTCCTAAAACTAGCTTTTCTTATTATAAATATTATAATGTGTAATACACAAAGTGTAATAAAACTTTCTTATGAAATATATTATGTCTAAAAAAAAAGTAATATTACACTTTTTAAACAGTTTTTGAAATAGAAATAATAATTTCCTATTTTATTTGTGCAAAAAAATAGTGTGACTCTAAAAATATGTAGATTATTCTAATTGAGGAAAAGTTAATTTTTAGGTGAATAACTTCATGAAAGAACAAAAATATAAATTTTTGAATAAACTGTACTTTTTTTTTTTAGGTTAAAAACCTTTTATTTTTTCGAGATTAAGATAAAAAACTCACTAAGATGCGATGCCATGGTTTTATTTTACATTTATAATGGATATTTAATGAATAGGTCTTAGTTTAGGAAAACGAAATTAAAAATTTTAAATTGGTTCATGTAGAAATCTTATAAGATTTTTAGATAATGAAAAAGTAGTTCTACCTTTATAAATGTATGTTATTTAAGATGTATTATTGGGATAATAAATATTTTGTTTATGAATAGCAATTAAAAGTTATATAAACTCATTTTAGACATATAAAAAGTTTATTTATTTAATATAATAAATGGAATTATTTATAAATATTGTTTTTATAAAAAAAACTTTTTAATTAAATAACTTTTTATCTATATATTAATAATTTAAAAGCGAAGTAATTATTTATTTTTTACAAAAAATATAAAAATAAGTATAATAAAAAATAATAATATACAAATTAATATATTTTTAATTAGAAGGAAAAATATTAAAAATAAAAAAAGAAAAATACATTTATGACTTAATAATAAGAAGATTTCTAATACGATAATAACGACATGAATTAATTAAATATAGCATACATTTCGTTAAAAAATGATGAAAAATTAGGATTTTGGTTAGGTTTAGGTGGTTGGGCTTACACACAATTCATTTTTAGAAGACATTTGAAACCTTTTCCAATTATAACAACAGTAAGTTCTTTATTTGTAGGCGGACTTTTAACCAGCTTATATACTCATTAATCAAGATCCCATTACGAAAGAGTAGCTAATAAAGTAAATAGCAACGCATCAATTACATTAAATAAATTAATGTAATATTGAATCAAGTTTTCTTTCTAATATTTTATTTATTTATTTTTACTTCATTATGAATAGATTGCAATTTTTTTAAGTTTTTTAAAATGAATAAATAAAAAAAGAAAGAATTAAAAAAATAAATACATATAGATTATTTATTTTGTTTGTATTTATTATTCTTTTCTTAAATTCATTTGAAAAATATTATACATTTTTATTTTTATAAAAATTTTATTAAAATATATATAAAAATCATTTTCTTAATAAATACTATATTTATATATATATATTAAATTTATTAATTTTTTTTTATATATTATATATTATTTTGTAAACTTTTATTTTAAAAAAATATTATTCTAAATATTTACTCAATAAAATAAAAAATGAATGATTAAAAATTTTCAAAAAATCTAAATTCATTATTATAACTTTTCAAGTTTATAATGTTTTCCATATTCCTTTAAATGTTCAATTAATTACTTTTATTATTCTTTAAGATTAGGTGTAAGATTATCATAAACGTCTTCAAACAAAGAATTTACTCCATGAAGTTTAGTTTCGTTCGCTTCTTTTAATGCTTAACTAATTTATTTTCTAATATTTTCTCTCTCAAGTTTATCTTTATCTTCATCAAATTGTCTCTTTCCCGTTTTTTTTAAATATAATCCTAATCTTGTTAATGGGTTATTTTATTTATAGAAATTAATTTCTTCTTCACTTCTATATAAGACAGAGTAATCACTAGTACTATGGTCACCAATCTTTTGTACATAAATAAAAATAAAATATTAATAAAATACTCTATAAGTCATGAACTCAATAAAAGCAGGTTTTTAATTTTTTACTATATATTCTCTAGCTTATTTTACTACATGATAAACTGCCATAGCATCGTTTCCATCGACTCGATAAGTTTAAACCCCGTATCCAATACTTTTACCTGCTATGCCATCTCCTTTATATTATTCACCTATTTTTTAAGATTTTTTTTTTTATAATTAATTAAACAAATATAAAACAAACTTGAATGTGTTGATATTGCATATTTATTATTTCTGCATAAAAATAAGGTTTAGCATTGTAAAGTAGCTGCAAAATTTAAAGCAGCATGAAAATCACCTTCTGAAGCAGCTCCCTTTTATAAATTATAAAAATTAATATGTTTTATAATATTACTTCTCCGAAAAATGTGGCAGAAACCCTATTTTCATTATTCAATCTAAAGGCATAGCCACTTCCACTTGCCTAGGGAACTTAAGTAGCTAATAATTTTAAATAAAATATTATCTTTAATTAAAAAAAAATACTCAATGGTGAAGAAACAGTAACAAAGTTAAGTTTCTTAGAACCATAATGAATAGGCATTTGTCTGCCTTTACCTACATCGTGTGTGTTTCCCATGCATTAATTAAGCATGTCCTTAACTATATATCCTCTCCATATGAGAGTTCCTTATTCTCTATATTAAGGAAAAACTAAGTCATGATCTTCTAGCCCTGCTCCGACTCCTATTGTTGTTGCTTATTCACCAAAAGAAGGCATATAAAAAGATATTTTTCCTTATCTTTATGACATGTTTAAAATAATATCTATTTCTTCAAGCTTATAATTTTTTTTTTATTTATTTATTTATTTTTATTACTTCCAGCATTTTATCATATATTTTATTCAATATCTCATATGGTATATTGTCATATCCTGGAGCTACTAAATTTCCTTCTAAATCAATTACTCTACAAGATGGAATTTAAGAAGGTATGTCAGCGTTTTTTAATTTATAAATATATGTCTAATCGTCTTGATAAGTGTTTTTAGATGTTTATGTAGTAAAATTTACTGATATTTGACTTTTAAATTAACTAGATAGCTTTATAAGCTTGCTATATTATTTTATCATTATTTATAAAAAGTAATATCCTAATTAAATATATATTTTTATTTTGAATAATATTTACTTATATTTTAAAAAAATAATCTAGCTGAATTGTTAATTTTTTTTCTTTTTTATTTTTTATTTTTTATTATTTTTTTTAAATAAAAATAATAACTTTTAATAAAAAATTACATTTAATATTTTTTAAAACTAAAATAGAATAACAATGGAGTTAAATTAAACCACTCTTGAATCTTATAATAAATACACACATCAAAATCAAGGTAACATAAAAAAATAATAATTATATATGGAAACAAATTAATAAATTAATTTAATTTAACAAAGATATTATTTAAATTATATATTTTTTGGAATATAAAACAAATGCATTTTATTAATTAGAATACATTTTAAATATTAATAAAAAAAATATAGCAAATTAAAGATATATATTATTGTTATTAATATTAATATTAAAAATATGTTATTTATTTTTAAATAGGTACTTTGATAGGAAATTGGTACGAAGAACGAGTATTAAGAGATTTAACTGGTGTAGGAAGAACAATTCCATGTTCTCATACAACTAAAAATACTAAGTCATTGTATGAACCTTTATAAGAAACTAATAAAACACAAAGTGTATAATAAAATATAACAAGTGAAAGATGTTTAGGGAAATAATATAATCATATTCCTTAAACATTCAATAGTGAATATGGAACAGGTATATACTTTTAAATATCTAAAATAATTAATAAAAAAATATTAAAATTAATTTGATAAAGGTAAAAACAAAGCAGATGAATTCCCAAAGTAAGGAAAGAGGATCGAAACTATTTAAAAGCAAGTAAATAAAAATAGAATTATAATTTATAAAAAAATAAAACGTTTTTTTTACTAATTAATATTAAATAAAAGAAAATATAAATTCTTATAAAATATTAAATAAAAAATATATATAGTTGATAGAATAAATATAGCATGAAATATAATACTAAGAACGAAAACTTGATGAAAAAAGTAAAGAAAGACAATTTTAAACAACAAATAATGTTGAGTATGGTCATAAAGTAACAAAAAATAATGTAAAGATTAATTAATCTTATTTCGAAAAAAGGAACATGCATAAGCTGGAAACACAATAGGTAGAAAAGTTATGAGAAATTAAAATGGTTAACCAATAGGGCCTGAAAATAGAGATGAAGATTTAATAACAGATCATGGATACTTTTAGAGGTATTTCTTTTTAATAAGAATATTTTCATTATTAAATATTTAATTAGATAATAATTCCTAAGTGATGAGGAGTTAAAAAAACATTTACCTTAAGGAGAAAGCTATTTAACTTAATAAGCAATTACTTTATGGTAAGAAAAATAGAACGATGGATGTGTTTATAAATCTTCTTCTAATGGATTAAATCATCATTAAACTTTCAGAATTAATAATGAATTTGTTAAAACATTCAATGATTATTCACATGTTAAAAAATGATTATTATTAATTATTTTTTATATTAATTATATTTTCTTAAGTTTAAACTAATAATAATACATTTAATTTGTTATTTTTTTTCATAACTAAAAATAAAGAAAATTATTAATTTATTATTTAAAAATATAAAAAACAATTAATATTTGAAATAAAATTATTTTATATATATTTTAATAAATCTTTATTTAAAATAAAATTATTAAAAATAATTAAAATATAATTTCCTAGTTAAAAAACAGTATGCTTAAATATACCTATATTACTTATTATAAATATCAGAAGATAAAATTATTATAAAAAATATTATTTTATATAAATAATGTTTAAAATTATATTTTAAAATACTATATTACTGTAGAAATTTATATAATTTATTTAAAAATGATTAAATATCTTTTATTTTTTTTAATAATATTGAAATAAAAATATTTTTTTTTTTTTTTTTCATATTTAATATATAAATAAAAATATTAAATTTTTAAATTTTTTAATTTTGATTTTGAAAGTCTTTATTTTTTATAATTTTGTTACAAATTCTTTTTATCAATAATTGTGTTAAATATAATTTATAAATAATAAATTAAAATGTAATAATTTTTAAAAATAATAAATGAAAATTAATAAATTAGAAAAGGAAAACTTAAATAAAATATCAATTTATTTCAGAATATATTATTGCTTGTTAATATTGTTTTATTTTATGTTTCTGTCAATTTATTTTAAAACTAAATCATAAAAAAAAAATATTAATAATTATTTCTTACCCTAGAATTTTTTTTATAAATAATTATTGAATAAATAAATAAAGCTATATAAGTAAATAATATGTATATAATGTGATTACAAAAAAAAAATATAATAAATAGCCAACAATAATTTGACTTTAGATTTGTAATATTAAATGCAAACATAAAAAATTTTAGAATTGTAATATAAATTAAAATTTGATTTTTATATAAAAATCATAATAAATAGAAAAAATTAACTAATATTATAAGTAAATATTTATTAATTATTTTAAAGTATAATATTTTTTTTTTTTTTAAAAAAAAAATATTATTTAATTACTTTTTAATAATATATTTATTTGTTTCTATAATATAATCAATTAAAATAAAAAATTAATAATTTTAATTAATACATAATATTTTATTTTCACATAAATAAAATAACATTTTAATAGATAAAAATCTTATAATTTATTACTTATAAAATAAAATATAAAAAAATGTATTGTAATTATTTTAAACGAAAGAAAAAATATAATTTTATATTAATTTTTTATATATTATTTTATTATATTTTTATTTTATTTTAGAAACTAAGATTTTATGAAAAAATATAAAAAAAATACTATTTTCAAATTATATCTTTATATTATTGTAAATTTTAATTAATTTTTGTGATTTAAAAATATATTGAAATAATTTAAATGATTATTTTTATCTAAAATACAAATTTAATTTTAAAATTTTTATGGGTATTTTTTAAATAATGTACAATTAATTTAAATTTTTGAATTTTATATGATATATTAAAATAATTTTAATAATATTACGATAGAATTATATTAAAAACTTTAACAAAAGAATTTTCCATAAAATATAATTTAAATATGATATTACAAAAAAATATTGTTAAAAAATAATTAAAAAAATCTATAATTAAAAAAAAATGATATAAATTAATTTATATTATATAAAAAAATCTAGAAATATATTTAAAAAATAATATAAAAATTAATTATATTATAAAAATTTATATTATTATTTAAATATGTTATTTTCTGATAAAACTTATAATTAAATTCAAAAATTATAAAAAATTGAAATATAAAATAAAACTTATAATAAAATTATGTGTAAAAAAAAAAAATTAAAAAAAACTATTAAAATAAATATTAATAAAATATATTGAGTATTAACAAAAAATTTGTTTTTTTAATATAAGATATTTACTTATTAAAATTTATTATATATATATATTTATATATATATATTTATATATATTTTTTCATTAAATTGTTGGTCTTATAAAGCTTTTTCTTTTAGTTTTAATTTTTTAGAAATCTTTTTTTTTACAATTTCAAAAAATTTGAGTTATTTCTCTACATTAATAATATTTGCACTTCTTATCCACCACATTGGATCTTCCTCTAGAAATTATTCAAATTATTATTTATATTAAGATTCAGTTAAAAGTGTTATTATTAATTCATTATTAAGTTTATATTTATTAAAATAATCTTAAAAATTTCTTTAAAATTCATGATCATTTTTATTTATTATTTTTATATAACTTCTAAAGCCTTTAAGAATATTTTTATGATAGTTAGTATCGTTCCTAAATCCTTTTATTTTTTTAACTTGTCTCGAATTTTATTGTTTCGAAAATGTTTCTTCATTATTATATTTATCTTACGAGTGTTAATTTGTATTAGGATTTTATATAGAAGAATTATTTTATATATTGTTATTATTTATATTTTTATTATTTTCATCATTATTATTTTCAATTTTTTTATTTTTTTATTCTTATTAATTATCAAATATAAAATTTATATTATTAATTTATTCATCTTAGTTTTTTTATTTAAAATTTAAAGAATATCCTATAAAGAAACATTATCTATTTGTTAAGGATTTATTACAATTAATTTGCTAGAATTTTATATATTTTTATATGAGTTCTTAATATTTTACTGAACGTCTTTTTCTATTTGACCTTTATAATCAAATTCTAATTTTACTTGATAGTTCTTAGCATATTATTAAGGTTTTTATTAAATATTCCAACTTTCTGAAAAATAATTTAGCAATTATTAATATGATGTGCATAAATTTGAATATTAAAAAAGTAATTATTGTTAAGATAAACGTTATTATTCCTAAACATATTATAAGTTTTATTAATTTTAAATTAGCTGTTATAATTACATTTAATTTATTTAAACTATGTTTTCAATTCCAGAGGCTTATTACATTTTTAAGAGTATTTATTGATTAAATTTTATATTTTTTTGTTTTTTTGATTGTTATTAGTAAAATTTGATATTAAATTAAAATAAATATATTTATTAAAAAAATTCGATTATTTGTATATATAAACTACATATTATATATAAATTTAATAAATATATTTTAAGTTTTTTTATATATTAATTTTTTTGTATTTAATGTAAAATAGAACTTTCTTATTTGAATTTAATTAAAAAAAATATTATTATATCTTTTATAAAGGTGTAAATCTTTATATAAAAAATATACAAAATTTATAATATAATGAAATTTAAATTTTATATTAATATATATAAATAGAAAAAAATGATTTTAATTTATTTTTAAAAAAATTAATTTATAAATTGCGATATTTTTAAAATGGATATAAATTTAAATATAAGATAAAATTTATTAATAAAAATATTATTAAAAAATTTATTTTCTTTAAATTTTTAAATATAAATAAAAATTACATTAAAATATTTATTTAAAAAATTTATTAAAATTTTTTTATATTTTATTATTTATTTTGATTTTTCTATTTTAAATAAAAAATAATATTCATTAAATTTTATTAATTAATTCATAATTTTTTACATATATTTATTTGATAAATAAAATTAATTAAATTCTACATTTATATTAGCGTTTTCAGAATAAAATAAATAAATATTAAAATATAAATGTAATAAACATATATAATATTAAACAATTACTTATTATATATAAAATAATAAAATTATTCATGATACATTTATTTCAAAAATATTTTTTTTTTATTTAATTAAATATATAAAATAAATAATATATATTTAAATTTAAATACTATTAATATTAATTTTTAAGTTAAGAATATCTTTATTTTTATTTTATAAACTACTATTCAAATTTTTTTTTAATTAATATATTTTTTAATTTTTTAACATAATAATTATTAAATATATTCAGTAAATTTTTATTTTATATTTTAATTAAAAAAATAAATACTTAATTTGATTAGAAACTTTCTTTTTAAATATTATTAAATAATACTAATTAAGAAAATATTTTTTATAAACAATTTTTTCTTTAATATATATTATTAAAAAATAAATTAATTAATTATAAATTTAATAAGAAAATTAATAAAATAATCTTAAAACATGACCCTATTACTTTTACTTTTCTTATGCTTTTTGTAAGTAATTTTAAAAAATATTACATTAAAATTTATTTTCTAACTAATTAATTTACAATGTTTTTTAATATAATTTTTTTAGAATATATTTAAAAAAGATATTTCAAAAATAAATAATAAATAAAATAATATAATTTTTATTTTACAATTAAATATTAAAATAAAAATGGATTAATATTTAATTTAAACAAATTATATAATATTTTACAACATTTATTAAAGGTTATTTTAAAAATACTACTTATATATATTTTTTAATGAGTTTTATTTTATAAATATTAGTTATTTTTTAGATAATCTTTAAATTAATTTAATCATATATTATTTTTTAGTTAATTATGTAGTCAATTAAAATTCATTATAAAAATAAGTATTATTATAATTAAAATTAAACTAATTTTTTATTTAAATTTAAATAATATTATTTAAGTTTAAACTTTTTATTTCTAATAAATTTAAATTATATATTATTTGATTTAATTATTTTTAATTTTTCCTTTATTTTGTTAAAAAAAATAACAAAAATAAAAGCTTAAACAGCCATTTCATTTTTGCTAAAAAAAATTTTTATTATAAGTTTTTTTAAAAAATAAATAATAAAACTAATTAAAATAAATAAAAATATAATATCTTATCTCTAAATAAAATAATATTAACTGATTTAACTATATATTATAAAAAATTTATATTATAATAAACTAAATTATTATAATTATAAAAGTTTACTATAATTATTTAATTTTAATACATATATTTTTTAATTAATTATTTAGAAATATCATATGATTTTATTAAATATTTTATCATATTTATATAAAGAATATTTTGATTTTACATTAAAAAAATATTTAAAAATTTTTAATAAACAAATTAAAATGCAAATCATTGGATTTTTATGTAAGCTGAATTTCTGATATAATTTACATTCTTTAATCTAAGTAATAAATTTTTAAATATTCTCAAATATATAAATTATCATAAATATTATTTATATGAATAATATTTTTTAAAAATTAAAATTATTTTATAAATTTTGTTAATTATTTTATTTTTTATTTTAAATTTGTAATTTATTTATATTTTCTTTCTTTTTCTAATATTATTTTTTGATTAATTTTAAAATTAAATAACTATTAATATAATTTTTATTAAATAAAACTAGAAAAAATAATATATAGATTTATATTTTGATTTTTTTAATAAACAAAAAAATATATAAAATAAATTATATATTTTAAATAAAAATTGTTCATGTTCTTATATATTTTTAATCTAAAATTGAGTTAATATATTTATTTAATATATTTTATATCAAATAATTTATGTGTTTTTTTATTTTTATTTTAGTTAATTAATTAGTTATTAAAACCTTTTTATATAATTAAGTATTTATAATTTTAAATTTATTATATGAAAAATATAATTTGAAAATTATGGAATTTTTAAATGCTTTTAATAATTTTAATTTTTTATATTCTTAGTTTAATAAAAATTGAAATTCTTATGGATACGTTTTTTTAAAAACTTAATATATGCTTCAAAAAAGAAAATTAATATATAAATATAAAATCTTTTAAAGTTATTATGATAGATCGAATCAAAATTTTTTTATACAATTCTAAGTTTTTTTCAATTAAATTACTTTAATAGTAATTGAATTGCTATAATGGATATGTTTTTTTAGTATAATTACTTAGTTATTAAAATGTTTTTTATTTTTTTAAAAAAATTATACTAAGCATAATCATAATGGTAAAAATAAGTTATTTAATCCTTTAAAAACAAATTGGTTTTAAAAATATATAAATAGTTAAATTGCTAAGCATTTATTACATAAATTTAAATAAACTACTTTAGTCATATAAAGATAAAACATTTATTAATAAAAGGAAATTTTATGAAAAAAACAATACTAAAAATATATTTAAATAAATATAAATCATCAAAGATAAAGACCAGAAAAATAATCAAAAAAAGTAATTACAATTTATCTGGAAATTAATTATTTACTTTCTAAAACAAAAATTATTGCAAAAAAACTAAAACTAATTAAGATTATATTATACTCAAAATGAACATAAATTAAAAGATGATTAAAAAAAAAATTAAAATTAATAAATTATATAATTATTAAAGTAATTAAAAATCAGATGTATAAATATTTAAAATAAATTAATTAAATACAATTAAAAAAAAATAATATTAAAGATTGATATAAACTTTTATATGGAAAAAAGTAAATTAATTAAAAAATAAATATTATGTTTAATGAAGTAAAATAATAATTATACATTTAAATTTATTCATATATACACTATATATTAAATATGTAAATATTTATACCTTTTTATATTTATAAAATTTAAACAATTTTATTTCAAATTTTTAATTGAATTTAATAATTATAATTTTTATATATTTTAAGTAGGTAAATAACAAAAATAAATACTTTTTTAATAAAACATTAAATATTATTCAATCAATTATTTTATTTCTTATTTCTTAATAAATAATTAAATAAATATTTATTTTAACATTATAAATTAATATTTTTTTGTTAAATAACCTATTTATGATTTATCTAATAAACTTTACTTTTAGTAAATATTTTTTTCAAAAAAAAATTAATTAATATTACAGATAAAATAGTTAATAAATAAACGATTGATTTTGATGTAATCTTCTTTATTTAATTTATATATTTTGATAAAATTTCTTATATTTCTTTCGCTTTTTTTTAAGTATAAAATAGCTAATATTTGTTATTAATAAATTATAAAAATTTTGCTTGTTTTAAATTGTTAAACTTTTTTGTTGTTTTGTCATTTATAAAAAATTAATAAAAAAATAAATTAAAATAAATGTGCATTTAATAATTAACTATTAAATTTTTGAATTTATAAAAAAAAAAAAATTGTTAATTTTTCCAAAAAAAAAAAAAAAAAATTTAATTTTTAATTTCGAAATTTAAAAATAAATAAATAATAAAAAAACAAAGAATATAAATAAATAAAAAAAAAAAAAAGTCAAGAAATAAAGCAATGCCTAGAAAAGCAGCAAAAACAAAAATTGCATTATCATAAAATCCCAAATTAAATAAAAAACAAGATCAAGAAATATAAATTAGATCAACTACAGCAGTTAAGTATGAATCAACTCGTGATAAAATTGTTCGCAGATTTAGACCTGGAGAAAAGGCAATTAAAGAACTTAAATAATATAATAGAGCCCCTTCACTATTAATTAGAAAATTACCCTTTTAAAGATTAGTCAGAGATGTAGCAAGTAATTATTTTACTGAATAAAATCAAAATTTTAGATGGACTCCAAATGCATTGAGCGTTCTTTAAGGTGTAAGTGAAGATTATATGGTTAGCTTTTTTGAAGATGCCTATGCATGTGCTCTTCATGCAAAAAGAGTTACTTTATTGTCAAAAGATATGGCTTTGGCATCTAGAATTAGGGGTACAAGAAATATAACAGGTATTCATTTTAAATGAGTATATTATATAAAGATTATATGCATATATTTATTAAATATATATATTTATTTATTTATTTTTATTAATTTACCTGTTGATATTGTTTAATTTGTATTTATTTATTTTATTTTTTATGTGTTTAATATTAATAGATATGTTTTAAATATTTCTATAAAATAATAATATATTTTTTTTATAGAGCAATAATTATAATTCTATTTAAAAACTTTTAAAATGGTTTAAAATATATAAAAATTATAATTTTTTTATTTTTTCTACTTTTTTTTTTTGATGAAATATTTTAAAAAATATATTATATAATTTTGTTAATAAAATAATTAATATATTTATGTCATTTATTTTTATAAATAATATTATTTTACATCATTTTGAAATAATAATTAATTAATTTAATTTTATTATAATTTTTAATATCTAAATTTTATTATTTAAAAAAAATCTATATAATTAAATTTAAAATAAAAAATGAATTTCAGATGCACTTTTAACCTACAAAAAATTCTTTAAGAAATAGATTATTCAAAAAGAAAAACTAAAATTATATGCACAATCGGGTAATTAACCTTTTTAAAAATAAAATGAAATATAATAAAATGAAATTAAATAAATAAAATAAAATGATATATAATATAATATATAATAAAATAATATAATATAAATAAAATAAAATATAAGAAAATAATATAATAACATATAATAATATATATTAATATAAATAATTAGCCCTTCATCTTCAGATTTAGAAACTATATGCAAAATGCTTGATGCAGGAATGAATGTTGCAAGGATAAACATATTGCATTCAGAAAAGGATGTTTAGAAAAAAAATTAAAATTCATTTAATATAATATTTTTATTTTTTTTGAAAGTTTTATGAAAATATAATTAATAATTTAAGAAAAGCTTTTAAATTAAAAAAGCATCTACAATGTTCTATTATGCTAGACACAAGGGTATTATTTTAATTTTTTTTAGAAAAATAAATAAATATATAAATTGCTTCTTTTTTTTATTTACAATAAAAGGGACCAGAAGTAATAACTTCGTATTTAAAAAATGGTCAACCTATAAAATTAAAATAAGGATAACTATTGGAAATATGTAAAATTATATTATTTAATTTAAAATACGAATAATAAAATATATAAAAAATAAATAGTAGGCGACAATGAAGAGTATGAAGGTGATAATAAAGTAATTGGATGCTCAATAAATTTATCTTAATGTGTAAAAATAGGTTAATAAATATTAATGTAATAAGGAAGTATATCTTGCCATGTTATTGAAATAAAAGAGGTAAATATAATTTATATAAAATAAGCATAATATTTATAAAAAGGAAAGTGTAATAGTATAAATTGATAACGATTCAATTCTAAATAGTTAAACGAGAATAAGACTACCGGGTTGTAATTTAAATTTACCCACAATAAGTGAATAAGGTAATAATAAATTAATTCGAAAAAAAAAAAAAAATAGATGAAGAAGATATAATTAATTATGGTGTAGAAAAAGGAATAGATTATATATCAGTATCGTTTTGTACTAGTGCTCAAGATATAGAACAAATAAAAGATTTGATATCACCAAGGGGAGATAACATAAAGATTATTGCAAAAATAGAAAATTTACTAGGTTTAGAGAATTTCGAAGAAATTTTATAAGCATCAGATGGTATAATGATAGCTAGAGGAGATTTAGGAATGGAAATTCCTACTCAAAAAGTATTTGTAGCGTAAAAATGGATTATTGAGAGATGTTTAGAAGTAGGAAAGCCAGTAATAACTGCCACTTAAATGATGGAAAGTATGATTTAATATCCTAGGCCTACAAGAGCAGAAGCAAGTGATGTTGCAAATGCTATTTTAGATGGTACTGATGCTGTTTTACTATCTTCTGAGACTTCTAAAGGAAAATACCCAGTTGAATGTATTTAAATAATCTCAAAGTTAGTTTCTGAAGCTGAAATGTGTTATAATAATGCTTAAAATTTTTTCCATAGAACGAAAATTGTAAGGTTTTTATAATTTTTAGTAATTTTTTGTTATATTTTATTTTAAAGAGAAATATCTGATAGAGAAAGTATGGCTACAAGTGCTGTTTAGATGAGCTTTGATCTTAAAGCTAATACAATTGTTATATTTTCTATGTATGGAGATATGGCCAGAATGGTTTGTAAATATAGACCCAAAGCACATATTATTGTAGTTAGTAATATGGCTGGTACTATTAAAGGTTTAGCTATTAGCTGTGGAATCGTTTGTTTAAAAGTTCCTTCTTTTTAAGGTTTATTTTTTTACTATTATTTTACTATTATATTTTTTTTTTAGGAATCGATTAAATTATTAATTATGCTATTTAAAGAGCTAAAGAATTAAACTTTTGTTAAAAAAATGAAAAGGTAATTGTTATTATGGGCAGTGAAGAAGATGATTAAGATTAAAGTGACATTTTGAAGGTTAAAGTTGTCACATGAAAATATCCTTTTTTTTTATTATTATAATGACATACGAAAAAAAAAAAAAAAAAATTATTTTAATATTTTTTTAGAATATAAATTATTATATTTTTTTTTATTTTTTCTAAAAAAAATTTTCTAAAAAATAAAAAAATTAATTTTTATTTTAAAAAAATTTATTACATATCTTTAATATTAATGGAAAATAAAAATATAAATTTTTATTTTTATTTCACTTGCATTCTTGGTTTAGAAAAATAATGTACAAACAACCTTCTAGAAATATAAACAAAATAACTGAAAATACTAAATACAAAAATAAAAGAAGGTAAGGTATTTTTCGAAATTGAGGAAGTAGAAAATAATTTAATAATAATAATATAAATTTTACTAAGCTATATCAAATCAATTGAGCATTTATATTTAATATTAATAAGCTTTCAAACAACATACATGAATTCTCTAGAAGAGGAGGAAGCCTTAGTAATAGACTAAATTAAATAATATCTAAAAAATGTTCCAAAAGAAACGAAATATTTATTTACTGAAAAAGTAAATTAATAATTCAAAATAGAAATAAGGGAATCAAAATCATTCAGACTAGATAAGAATAAAATTTCAAAAAAAATAACAGAAATTATTAACGATAAATATCCAAATTTAATTCCTGATTTAAATGATTATTAAATAAAGTTTTATTTAGAAAAAATTATGAATAATTATTATTTTTCATATTCCTTAACTCCTAAACTTCCCATAGGTCTATCCCAAGTAGAAAAAACACGAGAACTTACTCATACAGCTCTAAGGCCCTCTTTGTCATTTATAATGTCGAAAATGACTTAAATAAAAATTGGAGATATTGTAATTGATCCAATGTGTGGATGTAGTACTTTAGCAGAGATTGCAATGAAATATGTAGAAAAAGAAGCATTTTATATTTGCTGTGATATCGATAGTGTAGCAGTTTAAAAATCTATTAATAATTTAATATTATAATCCGCTTCTTATTTTTTTGATATTATTTAATGTGATGTTAGGAAACTTCCTTTTAGAAAAAATATTTTTGATAAAGTTTTTTCCGATCTTCCTTTTGGTAAAAAAGTTGGAAATCATTCAATTAATTAATATTTATATCCCATTATTTCTAAAAATCTCAGTTTAACTTGTTAAGTGGGAAGTTTGGCTGTACTTTTAAGCACTGAGTATGAACTATTAATTAAATGCTTTTCCAAGAAATTCGATTGGAAAATTAATAATATAAATTAAATTAGTATCGGAGGAACAAATGCATGTATTATTGAAGCTTTCAAAATTAAGTAAAGTGATAAAAGAATAATAAACTATAGGCAAAAATAAAATAAACTATTATTATTAAATAATTAATGAAATTTGTAGATAAGTATAATAATTAAGAGGATAAAATTTTAAAAAGATAATATTATCAATATAGAATTATATTTAATTATATTAATTTAAAATAATTTATATATTTTTTTTAAAATTAATTTATAAATCTTTATTTTGTATATAATACATATTTTCTAAATATGCAAAAATGTTAATATTATTTATTTTATAATTCCTATATTTATTGTTATTATTATTTCTTTAATCTTTAGTAGATGATATAAAAATTTAAATAGGCTATTAAATAAAAGAAATATTTAAATTTAATATTATTTTTTAAATAAATAAAATATTTAAGGCGAAAATATAAATTAATAATAAATAAAGATACATTATTATATATACTATTCTTCTATTGTTATGATTTTTTTTTTTAAATATACATCATTAAGGATTAAATCCCATAGATTTTAAACATTTTTTATGTGCTTCAATAAAATCTGTGCACTTGTCTTCTCCATTATTAAATATGCATTGGTCTCTAATCATTTTTGTTTCTGGACAAGCGCAGCAAGGTCTTAACTTCTTTTCTTAATTTTTGTTTGTGTTATTTAAATTCTAATCTTAAATATTCATATTTGTTTTTATTATACTTATATAAATAATATCTTTTTTGTTATAAAAATCTTATTTATATATTAAATATTTTTGTATAAATTTTTAATTAAAATAACTTATAAAATATCGAACTTAATAAAATATAAAAAAATTGATATTTATTTCAGTATCAGTAATTAATTTTCATTATTAATTACTTTAGTTTTAATTTCATTTCCAATAATTTCTTAATAAAATAATTTATAATTTAGTAAAAATTTAAAATTACATTTATTTATATATATAATATATTTATTTTATTTAATAATTTAGTAAAAATAGACTACAAAAAAAATATAATAAAATGATGTAAAATGAATAAATAATAGAAAAATATAGCCCAAATTAATTAAAGTTTTTTAAAATAGTTCAAGAAAATCATGATGATAATAAGAAAAAAATAAAAACTTTAAAAAACATAAAAAAAACATATATAGACATTTAGAATGCACCTTAGAAATAAATGTAAGATAAGCAAGTTTAATAAAAATCTTTACTAACATCTTGTTAAAATACATCTATCTTAAGTTCTTAATAATATATATTATTTCCAAAAATATAAACTTCTTTAAGAGAACAATATTTATCATAAAAATTTACAGATATAGATTAATATAAAAACTAGAAAAATTATAGTAAGTCTTATTTACATTTTAAAAATGTTAAAAAAATAAGATAAATTAATGAATAGTCAATAAAATAACATCATGTTTGTAAATAAAACAAAATGCTTGCTCCAAGGATATAATAAACTTATATAATGTATATTTTTTAATATGTTTTTACCATTTTTTACTTTTTTTTTTAATTAAAGACCATCTTTACCAAATTTTATAAATAGAACAACTAAAATCAATAACTTATGTTTTACTAAAATTTAAACGAAAATATAAAATGAATATTATATATATTCAAAAATTTTAATTGAATAAGAAAATAAATTTATATAAGATTAAAATAAATAATTTTTATAAGCATTAGAAGAAGACATAAAATAAGATGATACATTTATTAGTTGAATTTACTTTAATATTTTTTTATTTATATACTATTGATTTAAAAAAATAAAAATTAACTTATTATTATTTATTTTCTATCAAAATAAATATATATATAAATAAAGAATAAGTAAAAGTAGGAAAAAATAATAGAAGGTAGTATATAAATTAAAAAACTTCGTTTTAATAAAAATCACTTTAATTAGTTCCTAAGTTAATTTTGAAAATCTATTTAAAATTTTCATTGAAAAAATCAATTACGTAAAGTTATTTTGAAATTATCTTTCGTAATTTTTCCATTGAAATCTCGTTTTATTCTAAAAGGTGAAGTTTTATAATTATTTAATTTTCATGCTTTCCAAATCATTTCATCATATTATATTTCGATTATCATTCATAAGTTAAATTGCCTTATTAATCAATAAGAATTATTAATCCATTTTTAAAATTATTAATAAAATCTCCTTCATATTATTTTTAATAAATAACATTTAATTATTACTTTATTTCGAATATTTTTTCAAATAAAATATATTTAACTTAGATTAATTTTTTTAAATTTATTGGAATAATATTATATTTTGGATTAAATTTGAATGTTTTAATTTTAATAAATACATTTTAATCTGTTTTTTAATGTTTTTTAAATATAATATCTATAAATTGGAACTTTAATTTTGATTTCGACTTTGATAAAAATTATTTTATTCTGATTTCATTTTTTAATTACTTTATTATATTTTTCAGATTTCCTCCTACTTGTAAAAAATACAAAAATTTATCTTTTATGAAATTATGAATCAAATATTTTTGTGAATATTTTTTCAAAAAAATAAATAAGATACTTTTTTAAAAATAAATAAACAGATTTTTTTTTTAAATTAAATAAAATGAAAAAAAGGGTAAAAATACAGATTTATATTTTCTAATTTATTTATTGAGCTTTTGTTTAGTATTTTTTGAAAATCAAAAATATAAAGAGAGAAGTTTATGGGTTTAACTTAGGAGTCTCAGTAAAGAGTAATACAATATATGATATATAATGAATTAGTAAATATTTAGTTAAATTTATATAATTTTTTGTATTTAATGAGCTTATATTTAGTATTTAATTTAGATTAATTTATGGTATTTTATGTCGTTTATGAATGCTAAAGCTTAATAGTACTGTTTTTATTATTTGAATAAAAACTATATTTTTTTTAATGAAGTATTATTTTATATTCTTTATTGATGTGAAGTGAAAATATTTTCGTTTATTTTGAGAAATTAAACATTATATTTATTTAATTATTAAAACCTTATAATTTTTT